CTACGCCAATTTCTTGATCGACAACATTCAATTAGATTGTCTACAATTCCATTATTGAAAAAACTATCCATGTCAAGATTGTAATGATCATCATCCTCTGCATAATGTGCCAAAAAAAAAAACTAAAATGTCACCTCGACTATGATAAAGCGTATAATTATAAGATAAAACATTTATTCTAGTCTGAGATGTATCTTACTGTTAACTAGTAAAAGCATGATCCTGTAGGCAGCTGACTCCAACAAAAATGGCGCGATATTTGGTAACTGCTCAATCAAAGCTAAACCGACAGTAAAATCTCTCACAATCTCTGGTAACTTCTCAAACTGTCATAAAAAAAAAAAAGTTCAAGAAAGGGAACAAGAATGTTAGTTGAATCATGAAGAAAAAAGAAGATGAAACGTACTAATATTCGCGTATATCCATATTTGATGATCTGTTCAGCTTCATAATGCTCCTTGTTGAAATATTGATCAGTTCTATTTGCTAACATTATTTGGTAGCGTTTATCTTTTTGAAAGTTTTTCCAATTTTCTGTATTATCTGATAGAGGGATATGAAGTTTCTTCATGAATGTGGAGAATGTAATTAATGGAGTCTTGCAGAAAAAGAAAACGTGAATATGATGAACAGAGAGCCAAAAATTAGTTTCAGGTAGTGCTATTGTACGTACAATAATTTGTTAGACTGAAGTACTCAAAACACCCTGAAATTGGAGTAAATTATTAATTGTGTCCTCAAACTATTGAGAGCCTTAAAAATATCTTTCTACTTGACTAACTAAGTTTAGATACACTACCGATATCTGCCATATGACATAGGAAGTGGTTTCAAACTTTTGTAGGAGCATGAACCTCTTAATAAAAAATCGAGAAAGGTGTTGAAAACACACTTAAATTTAATGAGAATTTAGGAGTGTATTTTACCCATGTGGCAAGATCAAGGGTTGTATTTAAGCTCAGTTAGTCAAGTAGAGGGGTGATTTAAGATTGTCACTCTGTCAGTAATTCAAAAATGAAACTAATAAGTTTACAAGTATTTTCAATATTTCCTCTCTTTAATTAATGTATATAAAGGCCATGCAGCAATGAAGGTGCACTCACTCTCTTTGAGCTCTAGCAAGCCTTTCTTTTATCTTATCACTATTCATGTTGTTGCATGAGTTACTTACATATAATACATAAATAACTGCATGTTATATAATATGTTCTTAATTCACCAATTGAGGCTTATTTTCATGCTTTCAGACATAAAACTAAAAACGAATTTGTAAAGGACTACAAAACCAGTTGAGATTTGTGGAAATGGTGATAACAATAACATGGTAAATAATTACATTTTTGTATTGCTCTTGAGTATTGTCCAAGAGGAAAAAGATGGAAAAAAAAAGAAAGGAAAAGTGTGACTACAATGTTTTTCAATAAACATAAAACTAGAAATTCATTGTCATAATAAGTTTTCTTCAATCTAAAAATATGATGATAGCTTGTCTCTTAACATGTCAACCTCAACTACCATACTTTCTTCAACCTGTTGACCAAAATAATAAAAAACATATAAGGAAAAACACTATATATTAACAAAAACAAAAATAACATACAGTGTAATATCACAAGTGGAGTCTGGAGATAATTGAGTATACGCAGACTTTACCCCTATTTCATAGAGATAGAGAGGTTGTTCCCGATACATCTCTCTAAATCAAACATACCTAAAGATTACATTCCTCGAATCCTCCAAAAACATCATCCCAACTCATTTTTTGAGGATATGAAACACATCCGACAACATTTTTGCAGGATCCGAGCAACAAGGTGGGGATTAAAGCAATAGAAATAAAATTAAAAGGATATTTAATAATACCTGAAAATGCAAGGTGTAGAATACTCTATCTTCAAAAGTTTCAAAAGAAGTTGCATTTAGTAGAACAAGTCCTTCATCTTCTAATTGTGAAATAGCCTCACTAATTGAACCTTTATTGATCTTCAAAGTTGATATTTGAATCACAATTTCTTTATCACCTAATTCACTTGTTGAAATAACAAATGAAGAATTCTCAATTCCTCCTTTTATTCTTTTTTGTTTGGTAAAATCACCTAAATTTTGTCTATTGAAAATAGTAGTTGATGTAAATTTTTCTTTCTTTTGAACCAATCTTTCCACTTCACTTTGTAACTCTGGTATGTACTTTAGAATTCTTGATACTGTTGATGGAATGCTTAGCTTTTTCTGTGAAACATAAAAAATGATGAAGTAATATTAGTGAGCATAATTATGAAAAAAAAAATACTTCAAAACTAAGTGTAAATCCCATATTGTCAAAAGCTAAAACAACCTAAAGATACTCTTTTATGATATTGTACATTTGAGGTCATGTTCGCACAGTTTTATCAAAAAGGTCTCACATCATTAAAAGTATCATATAACTTCTTCTTTTTTCTAGCTATGTATATATGACTTTATTCGGATACACCCCCTTGAACCATATAAGTTCCACATGCCCTTCACCTAGATTCATGGGATAATTTGAAATTTACTATGTGACACCATCATCATTCGGAGAATTTAATTTATGGCCATCTAAGCCAAACATATGCTTCTTTTTGTGTGTATGCTTTTTCAAGCTATAGGTAAAGATAGTAAATTAACTCGTAGACGGGTAAAGATATTAAGTCAAGCCTCAAGTCATCACTCTACCAATTTCTTATTCGTCTTATCAAATCACTAGCTCTGATACTAATCGTTATTCGATGCTAAAACAACATAAAAGACACTTTTTAAAATTCATTTTGAACCAAAATCGCACAATTTTTCCCAAAAATATCCTTAAGCTTTAAAAATCATACCGTATGATCAGAAGGAGGAAGCAAAGAACGAAGAGAAGAATATAAGCCGTTGATTTTCTTTCTACGATCACGTTCACTTGCGTTATGATTAAGCTTCTTCACCGTCTGATCAGGTTGGTGATGATCACCACCGTTGATAATAATTTGATCAAATTTGTTTGAATCACAATGTTGAAGGCTTTTTTGAGATGAATTTGAAGTGTCTCCACTATTTGTTAATTCATGGCTTATAAGATCTTCCAAAAGCCAACCAAAATTATTAGTAGTAGTAGAAAATAAAGGAGAAGAAGAAGAAGAAATGGCTAACATTTTTGCTAATTAACACTTAATTTTTCTGGTTTACTACTAATTTGTGATTAAGACAATGTTGTCATATGACATTTATAATGAGAATTAATCTATACTATATTGTTTTGATAAGGACATACATTATATCATAACAAGTGAAATAAATTAATGTTTAGTCTTTTTTATTTGTTAAAATAATAATTGTATATAATATAGTATACTTGTGTAATTCTATGGACAATGTTTATTTGCATTAAAAATATATAAGTTTGTAATGTGCATTGCGTGTGGATACCATGTCATGCACGAGCATTGAGTATGTTTTTAGTCATAAACTTGAGTAGTTAGTTGCCATGTCACGTGCCTGTAAGCACGTTTAATTAATTAAATTAAATGTGGTGCCTCATGACATGGAGCGGTCACAGATGAGGACTGACAAATTTTTAGATTAATAAGTTTTCAAAGATCAAAGAAGAGGTGTACTTGAAATCTTAGGCGAATCTCATATTGGATGAGAGAAGAAAGTAAATAACTTTATAACACAAGCTTACAAAATCATATGGTACATACGTATCAGTATTGGTATAAATGATTCTTAATTACCTTGTATTTGGCTATAGCAAGAGCCCTCAAATCTCTAGAGCTGCTTGTTGTTCGAAAAAAGCATTTTCACGACTCTATCACCAAGTTTGTTTTGTTTCACCTCACTCTTTCATAACCATATATTTTTTTCGGTTAAGAAATGAGAAATTTTTATCATGTTACATGAATCTAATAATCGGGGCTCGATAATAATATATCTAAGTGGACAATTCGTAAAATCTCTTGGGCCAAGCAGATAGTAGACGTGGTTTAGATCACCACATATTTAAAAATATCATCTCTTTTAAAGATTATGAGAATATTTGAACTATTACATTTCATAAACAAAAATATTTGAACTTAGGTATCTAGTTTTGGAATCTACAAAATTCCAAACTAGAAGAGCTAGAAGAAAATAGAAAGGGAGTGCAAATAACTCTTATTTGTGAATTACTTGGTACTTGGTAGAGCTCAATGTGATACAATGAAATATATAAAATTTTATGTGTCAGATATTAGTGTACGTCCCACATTGGTTAGAATGGGATAATAATTAAATCCCTTACATATATGGTTTTGATAAATGGAGCTTTCTTTTTTCGATTGAGTTAGAAACAACGTTAATCTGATCCATACGTGAATTAATAATTATAGAGAAATGTGCTTATGTTCAATAACTAAAAATATTAGATGAGATCGACAACATACTTCAACACTTACGACTTATGAAACAAGATGTTTTAGCAGTTTTGCTGATCAAATTCTTACAATTTCAAAGTTTTAAATTCAAGCAAACCCGACTAATTTGGATTCAGCCATAACAACTCACTATTAGCAGGAGCGGGCCAGTTTATCAGGTGTGAGTTCACGAAAACTCAACAACTTTTGCTTAAATCCTATATAATATTTGACTACGAACTCAATTATTGTCATATAATAAATTAAAATTGTTATAGAAATTAATAATAAACTTCAAAATTTTGGATTCGTCTCTACCTAAGAAGGAGCTTTAATTTGATATAAATTCCCCATCAAACAAATTTGTATAGAAATCTACTAAATCCCAAACTTGTGGAAATGCAGATGACTCAAGATCCAAAGAATATTACTATAGTCAACATGTCTATGATTACAAGATATTGCCTCTCTTGAAAATGAAGGCACATTCACAATGACAAGAAAAATAAGATGGTATTTACATATATATTAGCAATAAAGGAAAAAATTAAACTGAAATTACAATGTCATTTTTATATAAATTAAACTAGAAATTCATTGTAGTAATTATAACTTGTCTTCCTTCTCAAAATAATATGAGAGTTTGTCTCTTAACATGTCAACCTCAACCACCATACTTCCTTCAACCTGTTGAACAAATACCCAAATCAAAAGAAGAAAAAATAATAATTAGTAAAATAGAAAACAAACAAAAATTTACTAATATATCAATATATATATGATCATGCTTTGAATATTGTCTAATAAAAAGACAAATAATTGTTCTTTTTTATTCTTATTAGTATAATTCAGTTTTGTTCTTGTGATAAAATGTCCTTTCTTATTATTCTTGATTAAGCGGTAGGTGAAGTTCAGATACCATACGATTAAAAGGAACACAAAAAGACATTTAATACAACAACACACATAATCCTACAAGTGGAGTCTAGAAAGATTATTTCTAATAGACGTTCGACTCAAAAGAGAAGTTTTCAAAGCAAGATTGAAAGAAAAACATGATAATAAAATAACAAGATACAAAGCAAATACAGCGACAGACAGAAATTGAAGGATATGTGATAATACCTGAAAATGTAAGGTATAGAATACTCTATCTTCAAAAGTTTCAAAAGAAGTTGCATTTAGTAGAACAAGTCCTTCATCTTCTAATTGTGAAATAGCCTCACCAATTGAACCTTTATTGATCTTCAAAGTTGATATTTGAACCACTATTTCTTTTTCACCTAATTTACTTGTTGAAATAACTAATGAAGAATTTTCAATTCCTCCACTTCTTCTTTTTTGCTTGTTAAAATCACCTGAATTTTCTTTATTGGAAATAGTTGTTGATGTAAATTCTTCTTTCTTTTGAACCAATCTTTCCACTTCACTTTGTAACTCTGGTATGTACTTTAGAATTTTTGATATTGTTGATGGAATACTTAGCTTTTTCTGTGAAACATGAAGAATAATGAAGTCTCATAAGCATATGACAATAAAAAAAAATTAGGGATAATACATATATTTGACCTTAAACTTGGCTTCAAATTTTAACTTTGACCTTCAACTTTCATAGTGCACAAACAAGCACTTTAACTATCCAACCTTTTAATAAATAAACACGCGATTTTTGGAGCCAAGAGCGTGAAATGCACACGCTGCCACGTGTATTATTGAGCCACTCAATGGCTGCCAACTAATTAAACACTTTACACCTCCATTTTAGAACTAAAAAAAAATAAAAATTAATCAAGGGTAGAGTTGTCATTTCAGCATTTTTTTCACTGTTGTGTGCCTCAAAAATTACTTCTCACTCGCGCAAAATGCGTGCACATCACGCGTTTTGCCAGGTAAGACACGCGTGTTTATTTATTAAAAGGTTGGATAGTTAAAGTGCTTGTTTGTGCACTATGAAAGTTGGAGGTCAAAGTTAAAATTTGAAGCCAAGTTTAAGATCAAATATATGTATTATCCCTATATAATAAGTTGTGGCAATTATACTCCAAAATTAATCGTCTGTTTGATCAAATTTTTGAGAAGTCTAAAGTGTTTGTTAGGCTAAATTTTTTTTTATTTTGAGTAGTAGAAAGATCGTTTTCCTAGTCAAGCACAAATTATTGTTCTAATATTGACAGAAGTATTTTCCAAATTGATAAGTCAAACATAGAATGTTACTTTTTAAAAGTAATTTTTTGTAAAGCACGTATGACAAAAATACTTTTCAAAATAAACAGATTTTCTGGGATGAATATGATCAAAGAAAAGAAATCATACCGTATGATCAGAAGGAGGAAGTAAAGAACGAAGAGAAGAATATAAGCCGTTGATATTCTTTCTACGATCACGTTCACTTGCGTTATGATTAAGCTTCTTCACCGTCTGATCAGATTGATGATGATCACCACCGTTGATAGTAATCTGATCAAATTTATTTGAATCAGAGTGTTGAAGGTTTTTTTGTGATGATGATGATGAATGAAGAGGTTCCATGGGATTAATGTTAATTTGTTGGCTAATTGGATCTTCCAATAGCCAACCAAAATTATTATAATTAGTAGAAAACATAGGAGAAGAAATGGCTAGCATTTTTGCTAATACTCTTAAGACTTTTTTTGTACTTTAATTACTAATTAGTAGTACTAATTAGGGAGTAGTACTATTTTGTAAGACAATGTTGACATGATGTTTATATATGAGGACTTACAGGTTATAACCAATAGATTTCATCAGGGCACAGCTCATCATGATAGTTACTCTAATTAAGAAATATTTAATTATTTGGGATAATTGCACATTTGGTCCTTAAATTATTGAAGAATTTTGATTTTAATCCTTTTGACATCTTATTAAACACTTCATTAAACTTTGGGGCGACTCTCACTGAGCATACCTTAGATAGGTATATAGGCCAAGTCAAGTGAAGTGACACTCAGCAGAGCCCTGACTTCACTCTGAAAAAAGAAAGTTGTTTCGCAGAGTCAAAGAAAACTGTAAGACACTGAGAGATCGTTGTGTTCCATTACTTAATCACACATATGTCACATTATGTTTGTATTGTTACTCTATGTTTTACGGTAATATGATTTTAAAAGTAATCCAAATATTCTCCCGCGTAAAAGGATTAAAAACACATGTTTTAATTAATTAGAAGTTAAATATGAAAAGTCAAATATTATAAGGACCAGAATAATAATTTACCAATTATTAGAGGACTAAAAATGCTATTAACCCGTTTATTAATATACAATTAAATGACTAATTATTTATTATATATGTTTGTATGGAGTCATTGCGTGTGGGATCACATGACATGCACGAGCTTCAAATAGATTTAAAATTTAAACTCGAGTAATTAGTGGATATGTCACACTTAAACACGTTTAATTAATTAAATATGCCACGTCTACATTTTTAATGTTAAAATATTATGCAAGGTTCTTTAGGATGGTGGAATAACTAATAAAATCAAGAAAATAATACAAGTTGTTTTATTTTATTTCATTTTTCTACATAGATGTGAAGGGATCGATGGTTAGATTCAATCAATTAAGTCGCTTTCTAAATGTCTTAATCATTTGAGTTTCACTTCTATTTCAGTTTGATTCGATTAATTTTCAATATTTCATCTTCAAAACGTCAAGTATGACAGATGTGTAACTAAGATTCTCATTTCTTATCCGAAAACAACAAAACTTCAATTTAAAATTTAAAAGTCGGCTATTACTTTAAAAACAATAATAGATAAAAATGAGCTATACTAACTTTCAGATATACCTACTCTTTTAATACTAATGGTAGCTACTAGAGCTAAGAAAAGAGGTAAGCTCGTCATAAAACAGTTTATTAGAAGTAGAAAACTGCTTGCTAAGAAAAGGAAGCTTTGGTCGGAAAATAAAGATGTGTTTTAATAGGGATACGATATCTCTGATTTTGTTCGATCATATATTTAAAGAAAAATATATCATAATATTTTTAAAATTTTTTATCACGTATAATTAAAATTAGATATTTTCAAATATCTCATGAATTACATTGATTTGTCTTTGGTCCACTAATTTTCGATATTTTATTTTTGAAAACTTTGTGTTAAGAAACATATAGATGAAGTGAGAACCACTAACTTTCAAAATATACCTACTTTTTTTTAATTAAAAAGAATTGTCACATCAAAAGTAAAACTAATATTGATACTCTATTGTTACAAACTTAAAATTAATATTAATAATCAGTCGTTTTCGACTAAACATTTATTTAACTTGTGACTAATATAATGTTTGCATTTTATTCCTTTTATTTTTCTGTAAAATATATGGTTGAGACGATCATTAAGTCAACTGCCATTATATTGTATTTGTGATACACTCTCATAAACCAGAAAAGAAATTATTTAGGACAAATTAAAGAATCTTCCCAAATTCTAGGAACAATAATGGGAAAATTAGCAATTAAGTCATAATACCTCACATAATTAGTCAAAATAACAACACTTTAAAATATTTATTTAAAATGGCAGAATGACAATATTTTTATAAAATAATATGTATTCAGATTTTAGTATTTAAAATTAATTTTAGTTATGAAAAGAGTCCTATATTGGACCAAATTATATATCAATAACCATTTAAAGAAAAATAAAATAAACCAATACACATTAACCTTTTTTCAACTCCATTCACGTTTCTTCCCCACCTTTCACGTTTCAAGTTTATCTTTCTTCAAGGTGCTAAATTGTTGTTCATCAAGAAATTTTCTTTATTGTTAAA